CTACGACCACGTCCTGGGGCCTCGCCCCGCGGGGGACTCCTCGGCCGCCTGGCGGGCGGCGGGGCGACGGGGAGGGGGGCGGGGCTTGAGTCGGGGGAGGTCGCTATCACCTGGGGATGGGGACTCGAAGAAGAAAAAAACAAGTAAACATAAACTTTGGGCGCTCCGCGCGGACTTCTTGGATCCGCGCTGGACTCCCCTCCCTGGCGCGCGGGGGCCCAGGCGCGGACCCAATAAATCCCCGCGCGAGGCGCCAAAGGTTTATGTTTGTGGCGTTTTATCCTCTTCGAATACCACTTGAGGATAGGGATAGAGACACTCTGGTATGCCCTCTGATATGCCCTGCACGGAGACTGGTATGCCCAAGTGATATCGAGGGATCGATATCACTTCGGCATATCGGTCGATGACTCAGTGATATCGAGGTCGATGCCCCCGATAACAGAGTGACTCTGGAGGTCGGTATGACTCCTCCTCCTCCTCCTCCTCCTCCTCCTCCTCCTCCTCCTCCTCCTCCTCCTCCTTTCCCTTTTCCTCCTCCTCCTCTTCCTCTTCCTCTTCCTCCTCGTCCGCATCCTCCTCCTTTTCCATTTCCTCTTCCTCTTCCTCTTCCTCTTCCTCCTCCTCCTCCTCCCTCCTCCTCCTCCTGCTCCTCCTCCTCCTCCTCATCATCATCCTCCTCCTCTTCCAACTCCCCCTCCTCCCTCCTGTCTCATCCCTCCTCGCTCCTCCCTCCTTCCTCATCCCTCCTCCCCCCTCCCTCCCCGCTCCTCCTTCCTCCTCCTCTCTCTCCCTCTCCCTCCTCCTTCCTCCCTCCTCCCTCCTCCCTCCTCCCTTCTCCCACCTCCCTGCACCCTCCTCCCTCCTCCCTCCTCCCTCCTCCCTCCACCCTCCTCCCTCCCTCCTTCCTCCCTCCACTCTGGTATGCCCTGCACGCCGTCGCTGCCGGCCTCCCGCGCCTCAAGAGGTCGAGGAGGCGCTGCACTCTGCCGCCTGGGGCCCGTCCAGGCCCAGACCGTCTGGCGCCCTTCGGGTCCGCGAGGCCCTATACGTTAGGTCGGACATGACCTCCTACGAGGCTCCGACATAGGAAGGTCCGCAGGTCGCTCCCGACGGGCTTCCGAGGCTTCGAAGTGGCCCCGAGAGCGCCCAAGAACGCCCAGAGAGCAATACCGGAGGGATCCGAGAGGCGATGAGTCGGGCTCCGACGAGGCGGGTGAATTAATGCCGCCGCCCTTTCGCTGCAAGGTAGCATCATTGAAAAAACTCCCGTGAAATATCTTGGCCTTTAAAAAAGGTTTGCCTCTCGCGGGATATCACTGCGAGGCTGGAACCAAAATAGCCCCATGCGCCTGAAGACATCTTCAAAATGCTTCACATGTGGTGCAAGTTGGTACAAGTTGGCTGAAGATGGCCTCCAGCATGGCCCCACGAAGCCCCAGGTCGGCCCAAAGACTGCTCCAGGAGGCATCGAAGATTCCAAAGGATACCGCCAGTTGGCTTTGTTTGTCCGCAGAACACTGATGCTTCAATCATGCTTGCTTTATCGACCTTTCACTCCCGATTGGCTTCCGAGGCCTCCGGACGGCACCAAGACCAACCAAGAAAAACCCAGAGGAAACCAAGCGGGCTCCAAGACAGCTGCGAGAGCGCGCAAGGGCGCTCAACCATGGCCCCAAGAGGCGGCGCGGTCGGGCCCGAGGGGCGGAGGGGGGGCTGGGCGAATCCATGCCGCCCCCTGCTGTGACCGAGGCCATCCAACGTGGCCCCAGGAGGGGTCACTAGCACGTCAGAAGGACCACAAGAGGAACCCAAGAGATTTTAGAAGGCCTCCAACGTGTCCCCAACAGGGCCCCAAACGGCCAGGGGAAGTCCCCACGAGGCTCCGACATCGGAAGGTCCGCAGGACATGTTTGGTTGACTCCTGGGTCTGCTCGGGCCGATCCCGAATCTCGGTTTGGACGGTTGCTGTCCCCCCTCTCGATATTCCACTGCTGGTTCCTACACATCCGCGATCAAGGCCACCCGCGTGGCCATAGTCTCTGGATGGGTTGGCTCGGGGGCGCAAATCAAAGATACGAGTGCTAGGTCGGGCATGTCCTCCTACAGACGGATATTGGGCGAAAGTTGAAAACAAAAAATATCCCCAAAAAATGTTCCAGCTTGAACACAAAATCGCAAAGACCTATTGCTGAACATTCCTCCTATAGAGGAGCATGCCCGACTTGATACTAATACATCGTGTCCTCCTCGGAGACGTACGCCCGACCCGAACACATACCATTAACATGCTGCACGACATCGCCCCCCGAGCGGCATGGCCAGAAAACGCACGCCACGAAGCCTATATGATATGATTTCTCGAAGCGCACGTCGCCTCTATGGGGGCGGCGAGCCTCTACAATAACAGGCGCGCTCCACTGTTGTATGGCACGTATGCCACTGCGTTTCTGTGCATGCCACAGACGCGCCAGATGCCACATGTAAAATTATGTCTGCTTAATTCAAATATGTGCGTAGATATAGAAACATACATCCATACATTACAAGAATACACGCATACCAACATACCTGCATACATGCATACGAACAAACAAACAAACATCCCTACAAACATGCATTCATGTATATATGTACGTATACGCATGTCTGAAGATGTGGATAAAAAAAACATGTATATCTATATATATATATATACACACACGTGTGCCTTATGTGTGTTAATATAGCTATATATATATATATATATATATATATAGTGATGGGCAGGGCGGCGGTCTGCGACAGCAGCTAGATGAGCTCTTTAAGGCGACCTGGCGAATCAGAAGGGGCGAGCGAGGCAGCTCGACCTCGCTCGGCGCTCACCCTCGGTCATAGGAAAACCCATCGGCACAGGCACGAGGGAGGGGGGCAGCACGGCCGACGGTCGGCGCCCAAACACACCACTGACATTTAGAAATCTCCGGCGAACAAGAGATGATTATGAAGGCGAGCCAAGCGTGGTAGCGGGACGGACAACAGCGACTGCCATGGCATTCTGTTTGCGGCCATGTCTTGACTTCTATGCCCCACCCATTCATCTGCCGCAAACGTTTATATGACTGGGCAGGGCGGCGGTCTGCGACAGCAGCTAGATGAGCTGTTTTATGGCCATCGCACTTTGACCTGGCAAATCAGAAGGGGGGGCGCGAGGCAGCTCGACGTCGCTCGGCGCCCACCCTCGGCCAGAGGAAACCCCATCGGCACAAGCAAGCGGGAGAAGGGCAGCGCGGCAGACGTTCGGCGCTCAAAAACACCTCTGACGCTGAGACGTCTCTGCGGCCAAACCTGATCTGGCTCCAGCCGAACTTACGACGCGCAAGCTCGATAAACGTTTGGGCCCAGCGCTCAAGCAGATCCGACTGAGATCGGGAAAATTTGACTTCTGCAAGCACAGCGGCCCCATCTTCGACGCATGTAAATATATACAGCAGCAGTCCGGGCTGAGCTCCATCGGCCAAGCAGCAGGACACGAGACATGTCAGCTGATATCATGAACTCGCACGCGGCGCCTCCGCGCCTGAGGCAATAAGGCGCGAGCAGGAGGTGGGCACAGCTGATGGCGGCCAGGCCTTTTCTGAAGGTGGCGTGGAACGCCGGAGGACTATCTGGCCACAGCCTGCCGCCCCCGCCAAGGGGCGACCGTCGGCGCGCCCAAGTGCCAGCGCACGGGCCATCGACAGTCACGTATTCGAGGGCTCCCTTTTGCGCAGCGGTCTCGGTCCAAGGAAGGGGGGCCACGCCGCGGCCATCGCCGCCGACGTACACAAAAGCACGCGCCAAGCCGCGAATCTGGCCAGCGCGCAGGCGCAAGTGGGAGCCCGCCAGCACACGCGACGCGAAGGCGATCCTGCCGCGCGCCAGACTCCAGCCTGCCAACGCAGCCCCTACACAGCCAGGCATGGGCGGTGCGCGCTCGAGGCGGCTCAAAACCGAGAGCAACCCCCACGCACCGGGGACCTGCCGCCCACGAGCAGAGCAAATGCTGAACGCCACTGAGCGCATCGTTCGCTTGACCTTTCGCGGCGCCCGCGCAACACAGCTGCTCCAGATAATCTTGGAGGCGCGGGCCCACGTCCTCCCAGCTGACCGGCATGGCAAGATGCATGGCACTTAGAAGGTCAACGAACTGCTGGCAAGGGCGTCTGCACGTGGCGCACGTCCTCGAATTGACATCAGCCAGCCATCCCAGCACAGCTCGGGCAGCGCGCCTAGTGGCTGGCGCGGACCGCCTAGCCATCTTCCAGGCGCGAGGGCGCATCTGCAGGGCTCTTGGCTGATGACGCGAAGCCAAAGACACCCCGAGCGCCCATCGCCAACTCGAGCACTGCGAAAGCGCGCACTACCCTGTTGAGCTGATTGATGCTGGACCTGTGCTTGCTCAAAGCACCGATGTTGACCATGCTATCGAGGAGGGGGCGGAAACTCGCTGCTGCCTGCAAGTGGCTCGCGCTCGCCAGCGCAGCGCCATCAGAGCAGCCTCGCACTCGAGCACGTCGATATGGGGCTGGGAGTCCTGCAACACCAACTGCCTCGCAGTCCTCCACGACCAGATGCCAGCGTCCACCTCTTGCCTGGGAAATGTATTGCCCAGAATCTCTGAGTTCGTGTCGACGCGAAGATCAGCTCCATTGCGATGGCAGGCCGCCACGAGCCCGGCGACCACGCGCTGCTCATTGGAGAACGGGCGCCACCCCCCAGCCCCCTGCTCGGCCAGCGCGGCCAGCAGCACGCCAGCGCGGCGCGGCTCTGTCGGCACGCAGCGGCATGGAAGTCGGCCGCCGCGCAGCCCCCCCAGCGCCTCGATCAGCGCCGGCTGCCCCCCCAGCCATCCAGCGCGCAGGGCGACCGCGCACGGGCGACCTGGCCCACGTAGACTAGCTTCTCGCCATCCTGCGGGGCGCTCTCTAGCACGAGCGCGCAGTCTCTGCTGCCCTGCAGGCGCTCGCCATCGGCCGTCCGAGCCGCGCGCAGCCGCTCTGCCGTCTCGGCCGCCACCGCCTCGCGGCCGCCGCGCAGCGTGGCAAGGTCGCCGGCCCAGAGCCGCTCGCCGCCAGCCCAGCCCCTAGAGCTCTCGTGCAGCGCGGCAAGCGACGGCACCGCCACCAGCAGCTCCGCCTGCGCCGCCCATTGGGCTAGCAGCCAGGCCACGACCTCGCGCTGAAACGAGTTCCCGAGGAACGACTGCCGCATCGCCACGAACTTCTCCGGCGCGCTCCTGACCTGGGCGCTGGCCACGCAGGGGGCCGCGCGCCCCCGCGGGAGGCCCATCAAGACCTCGCGGGCCCCCGCAAGTCGGCGGCTCGATCCGCCCGTCTGTCCAGTGGAGGCAGTCCCTGCCCCTGAACCAGCATGGCGGAGCTGCGTAGCCAGGCAGGCCTTGAGCCCCGCGGGCCTCGGCCAAGGCGAGCTGCGCGGCGCCCAGCGCACGAGGGTGAGCAGTCAGCCGTCAGCGGCAGCACCAGGCCACAAAGCGCCCCTCGGCAGCCACTCGGAGACGGGCGGCAGCGTCGCGGCGAGCTTGACCTGACAAAAGCGACGCATCGACCCACATGAAGAGGGCGCTTCGCTCATCTCCGCCTCGAAGGTGGGGAGGAGGTCCCACGACACCCAGCACCGCCGCTGCCTCCGCGCCCAGCCGAGGTCCACCGCCTCGATCATGACGGGCACGCAACCGAACATGCGGCCCAGCTCCAACGCCTCGGCCTCGGCCATCGAAGGGGCGTTCTCGCCGAGGAAGCCCGCCTGCACCTCGGCCATCCGCATCACGTGGCCGACCATCTGCGACCTCGGGCCGGCGCCCCCCTTGCGATCGACGTTCAGGACGGCGCGCCCCTGGTAAGGGAAGCCGCCGACAACCAGCACGCCCACGATCCCCCCACGCGAGCGCAGACGCCGGGCGAGGCCCACCGGATCAGCGAAGCGCGCGTCGCCCGAGCGCGCGGTTGCAGCGAAGGCGCGCCCGGCGGCCCGCACCGCGCCGGCGTCGGTCTCGAAGGACAGGCGGCAGGCGGGCACGAGCACAAGGATCTCGAGCGCCCGTCGGGCTCCGTCGATGCCCGAGAAAGCCGAAATCAACCCGGCGCCCTTCTCGCACGCCAAGTTGAGAGGGCGGGCGCCTCGCGCGGCCAGAAGCTCGCCTCGCAGCGCCAGGCCAATGGAGTACGCCACGGCCCTAGTAGCCTCCAGCACTGCTTCAAGGCCAGCCCGTGCGGCGTGGACACCTCGGACCCGTCGTAGGAGATCCGACGGCCCTTCAGCTTCGCGGCCCAGTCAATCTCGCAGTCGATCGCCGGCTCGGAGGCGAGGGAAGCGCACAGCCGCCTCGCGAGCCCCCGGAGCGCCGCCCACTGCACGGCGCTGGGCTTCACCTCGAAAATCTGGGCGAAGCGCCGATGCCCCTAGCCAGCCTCCCAGTTCAGCGCCATCACCGCCACGCGCAGCCGCGGCTGGAGGGCGCCCCGGTCGTCGGGGCACAGATCCCCACCACCAGCGAAGTCCTCAACTTCCAGATCGGGGCAGGGAAGCGGCAGCAGGTCGCGCCGCGGCCGCCCCTCCCTAGCTGGCCACCGCTCGCCGCGCATAAGATGATCCGCGCACTGCCCCTGTAACCCTGGGAAGGCCCTCATCAGCTGCTCGAGGACGGGCTCCGCGTCCACCGGCTCGCGAAAGCGCCGGCTCGCATCCGCAGCCAGCTCGCACCAGGCCGCCAGCGGATCGGCGCCCGCCTCCGCGCGCCGGCCCAGCCGCGCGGGCGCCGCGCCAGGGCGTCTCGCCCTGGGCGCCGAGCCCTGGGCGCCGAGCCCCGGGCGCCCCCCGGCGGCCGAGGGGGCCTCACGACCGTCCATTCAGCCACTTCATCACGAACCCCTGCACTACGTACATAATCGAAAGGTCGGCTAGGGTCCGTTTTCCAATCCTCGATACACGCGGGCCGCCACCACCGCTCGAATGTCCGGCAATCCTGCTCCGAGCGGCTGGCTGATTGCGGCGGCGCCAGCCCCCGTGCGAGGGCCTCGCCAGAACCTGCTCTGCCCGGGCGCCCGAGAGCACGCGGGGGCCGTCAGCGCCCGAGGCCGCGCCTCTCTGCGAGCCCGCGCCCACGCAAACCTCATTAGCCCCACGCTCCCGGCGCCCAGCTGCAAGCGCCGCGGCACGGCAGCCTACCCCCGGGTCACCCAGGAGGGGGGCTCGCCCTGGCCCTCGCCGCCCGCGCCGCTCGACTTCGGCCCTGCGCCGCAGCGGCCGCGGCGACCGCGAGCGAGCCGCCCTTCGCGCTGCCCTCGCCATTGCGGCCAGCGCAGGGCGCGACCTCCACCGCGGGGCGATCCCGCTGAGCGACCTCGGGCTCCATGGCCAGCTGGACTCGCCTCGGCCCCGGACGCGGGCCGTCGCCCCCCGCCGCCCGCGCGGGGGGGGGGGCTCGCGCACGGGCTGCTCGGAGTGCGCCGGGGCGTCCAGGGCCAAGGCGGCAGGCGCGGCGTCCGCCGCGGCCCCTGGGGCACCCTGGCCTGACCCGCGGGCTGGGCTCGGGGCTCGGCCACCTCGGCCCCGCGCTCGCAGCGGGAAGTGGCCCCGGCCGCGCCGACCGCACCCGCGGCCCTTCGCTCGGCTCGGCGACCGCGAAGCCGCCCGGCTCCCCGCGGGGGAGCGGGCCCCCCCTCGGGTCAGCGGGAGCCCTTGCCACTGACTCGGGCCCTGACCTCCTCCAGGCGCCGCCTCAGCAGCGCAGCCCTGCGCGCGGCGCCCTGCTCGGCCTGCGAAGCGAGGGGCGGCCCGATGCCCTCCGCGTCCTCAAGCTCGGCGGCGAGGTTCCCATTGCCGTCGTTCAGGCTCGGCTCGATTGTCTTGACCGCTGCGTAAGCAAGTCCGCCACTCGAGAGCGTCTGCAGCTCGCGCACCAACCGCTCCCAGATCGAGCTGATCGGGCGATGGCCGAAGACGATCGCCGTGAAGTAGCCCCGCACCTTCGGTCGCAGCCTCTGGCCGTTCGCCCCCTCCCGCAGGCCCACGACGCGCGCAATCTGCTCGATCGCCCCGTCGCGCAGCGCGCTGGGCTGCCCGTCGGCCAGTGACCGGACGTCGCCGCCGCGGGACGGGGCCCCGCGAAAAAGCGACCCGCCGTCGGCCGCCCCCTGGCGCGCGGCCTGCAGGGAGCCGTTCAGCCGCTGCCTCGGCCGCCGCTGCAGCACGGCCAGCGGCAGCTCCAGCCAGCCGTTCTGGGGCGGGGCCCGCAGCCGCCAGCGGACCGCCCGCGCCACCCGGCGGCGGGAGCACACTCGGGCGCACTCAGGGCTCCACGAGGCTGCGAGCCAAGCGGGGGCGCAGCCAGTCCGCGCGGCGCTCGCATCGGCCCGCCTCTGCCAGAGCCCGGCAGACCGCGGCTCCCGCGATGCACAATCGCAGCAGCGCTGAGAGGCCAGCGCCAGGCATCGGGAACGCGGCGTCGAACTGCAGGGCCCGCCCCGCCACGGACGATCCGCGGAACTGCACGGCCAGGCACAGCCCGTCAGAGCCAGGCGTCCCGGAAGTCCTGGCCAGGGGCGTCATGGGTCGGAGAACCATCCCTCGGGTGAAGGCCCGCCGACCAGGTTCGCCCCGCTGAGCCACGGCCCGCCCACGAACGCCGCGAAGGGCGCGCCAGGCTGGACAGCGGCTCGCCCAGCAGCACCATGTCCAACGGCCTGCCCTGCCACACACCCACAGCACCCGCGCCTGCAGCGGGTGGGCCAGCCTCCGCGGGCAGGCGAAAGGCGAACCCCTGCCCCGCCACCCGCAGGGGGGCCGCCGCGAGGGCGCCGACCAGCGCGGCTCCGACGCCAAAGGAAGGCCACCGCCCGCAGCAGCGCCGCCCACTCCAGGTGGCCCCAACGCCGCCAGCCCTGCGCCCCCCCGAGCTCCGACACCGAACGCGGGCGCGCCGGGCAGCACGGGCGCACCGCCAGGGGCACCGCCTCCACCCCCGAGTGGAGCGACGGGGGGGAAAGCGGGCGGGGCAACCAGGCGCCGGCCCGGCGCGAGCCCCTCGGCCTCGGCCGCGCGCGCCGCCAGCCGCTCCGCCGCGCCCGCGGGCCACGGCCTTGGCGACCGCCTTCGCTTTAGTCTTGGCATTCGCCTTTCCCTTGGCCTTTGCAGTGGCCGTGGGGTGCATCGAGCAGACCAGCCAGCGCCGAAAGCAGCGCCGTGAGGTGCCGCGCCTGCTCGAGCAGCACCGGCCGCTCGCCTGGCGACAGGCGGGCTTGCCAGGCGCGCTGCCTGGCCAGGGCGAGGAAGTATCACAGCTCGCAGACCTCCAGGGGCTGACTCTCGTGCGCCAGGGCCAAGCTCTCGGCGTCCCCCAGCCGCCCGCCGCAACACGAGCAAAATCGCCGAGGAGGTGGGTCGGGCGGCGGTGGGGGACTGGGGGCTGGGCTGTTCGGCGTCCCCCACGCCAGCACCTCCCTGCTAATGCCCTCCAGTGCAAGGTCGCAGCTCGAAGGCGAAACAACAGCGACTGCCATGCACTATGTTTGCGGCCGTGTCTTGACTTCTGTGCCCCGCCCACTAATCTGCCGCAAGCGTGTATATAGAATGTGTAACTGTATACACTTATGTATATATATATATACATATATATATATATATATATATATATATATACAGTCGGGGCGCTGACCTAAGGAACCCTAAATAAGGAACGAGGCCCCTATTTTCCATAAGTTAAGCCTCGATTCCATATCGAAAACCTAAAGAAAAACCTAAGGCAGGCTGTGAAACAATCGAGGAACACCGAGCCCCTCCCCAACGAAAAGGGTTCCTTCTCCGGGGCCCCGACTGTATATATATGTGTATATATATATACATATGTATGTATGTATGTATGTATGTATGTATGTATGTATGTATGTATGTATGTATGTATGTATGTATGTATGTATGTATGTATGTATGTATGTATGTGTGTGTGTGTATGTATGTATGTATGTATGTATGTACGTGAGTATGTATGTATGTATGTATGTATGTATGTATGTATGTATGTATGTATGTATGTATGTATGTATGTATGTATGTATGTATGTATGTATGTATGTATGTATGTATGTATGTATGTATACACACACATACATACATTTATACATATGCCGATATATGTGTATGTATATGTCCTGTGCGCGGGGTGGTGCCCGCCCACAGTTCCGCCGCCGCTGCTCTCCGTTGCTCGCTCGAGCTCGAAAGACCTCCCCCACTGGATCCACCGCGCCCGCGCTCCTCCTCGAAACTCGGAGCTCGGGAGCCACGAGTCCGCCGTGCAAGCGCGGCCAAGGTCCGAAGGAGCACAAATCGGGGATGGACAGACCTCCCTTTAGTAAAACGTGGTTTAGTGAAAACGACCTCGGGCCCAAACCTAGCGGGCGCAAGCCTGGAAAATGACGGCCGCGGCGCCCTCTCGAGAACCGAAAACGGACAATTCACTAATGGACGTGTCAGGGTAGGAGGTCTGTCCAACCCCGAACAAAGAGAGATGGGACGCCCCACGCACTGGCATGCCATCGTTCCTGCTCACCCCCTGGTTACCGACCCGTCGGAAGAAAATGGCAGGAACGTGAATTGGGACGGCGTTGGAAGTACAGCGGGTTTCTGCCCGCCCCCTGAAGAGGAAGGAGAAGGGGAAACGGGTCGATGTCTGAAGCAGGAAAACGCCTCAAGTGGAACAACGGCCAGGCTGAACTCGGCCAGCTCAACTCGGCCAGGCTGAACTCGGCTGGATGATCTCGGCGAGGCTGAACTTCGCCTGATCGATTCCTTGCTTTGTCAAATCTCGAGTATAGGATCGACTACATAATTGATTTACCCCAGATTTGATTTTCCTTTCGCCGAACACACATGGAAGGTTCGTGTATCTACGAACCCTTGTGTGTATGCTCGAAGACTCGGCGCAGATCCCCATTGCGGGACAAATCACCCATGTAGTCGACCCCCTGCTCGAAGAGTGCCTCCTCCTAACGACCGTCGGGGATCTTCTGACCCGGGTCAATCCAGACCCGGGTCAGCGGGAAACCAAAAAACCGCAATGCAGGAAAAAAAACTGCAACGCAGGTCTTCGCAAACCCGGGTCAGCCGATAGGCGCGGCCGCCTCTCGGCCACGAGCGGCTCGCTGACCCGGGTCAGCCACCAGAGGGGGTCTCCGCAGGATCCTGCAGGATGATCCGGTGCCCTGGCTGACCCCCGTTTGCATTGACCCCCGCCTCAAGGCTCCCGAGACCGATGGGCACTCCACCACGGCCCTCGAGTGTATGTTCGTGCATCTACGAACCCTTGTGTGTATGTTCGAAGACTCGGCGCAAATCCCAATTTCGGGACAAATCACCTATGCAGTCGATCCCCTGCCCGAAGAGTGCCTCCTCTTCCTCCTCCTCCTCCTCCCCCTCCTCCTCCTCTCCTCCTCCTCCTCCTCCTCCTCCTCCTCCTCCTCCTCCTCCTCCTCCTCCTCCTCCTCCTCCTCCTCCTCCTCCTCCCTCCTCCTCCTCCTCCTCCTCCTCCTCCTCGTCCTCGTCCTCCTCAAGGCCCTCGACGCCCCACGGCGGCCCGCCCCCCCCCTCCCCCTCCGAGCGAGGGGCGCCAGGGCGCGGGGGCCGGGGAGGCCTCGCAGAGGTCCGCGAGGGGGCGCCCCCGCGCCAGGAGCTGGGCGGAGCGCTCGAACTCGGCGTGGATGGCGCGCCACACGGTCGTGGTGAACGGGTTCACGTTCTTGCCCGTCAGCGGGCACCTGCCCAGAGATCCAGCGCACTGAGAAGATCAGGACGAAGGCTTTTCGCCGTTTTCAGCCCCCCGGGGCCCTCGCCGGGCCCCAGGACCGTCAAGAAACGACTCGAGATGAAAAACCGGTCCTGGGGAATGGGTCGAGACTTCCGGGGACCCCGCACTGAAAAAATCACGACATCGGATCTCTGGGTCTGAGAATCGTACAACCGGCCCTGAGATCGTGGCGCCTCGATCTCGTCGAGACGGCGTGTTTCTCCCCGGGTTTTTTAGGCCGGGGGACCCTCATGGATCGATGCGGCTCAAAGAATTGCGCAGAAAGATGGCGTCTGGGGCTCTGGTCGTGATTTTCACGATGCTGGAACTCTTCCACGCCGTCGGATCTCAGGGGATCCCCATCCCCACTTGCGTGGCCTGGGCACCACTGGTTCATGTGCCCCCCCAAATGGGGATATAGGCTGTTCCCTTCGAGTTTCGCAGGGCATGTCCCCAACTGGGGTGGTGAGATGGTGGGGATCGGGATGGGGACGGGGATGGAGATGGGGATCGGTTCAACGAAACGCTGCACCTCACCACCAGCACCCCGAGGTCGTTCTCCTCGATCGAGGCGTCGTACACCAGGACGGTGCGGCCTCGGCCCTCGTCGCCCCCACGGAAGGACTCCCGGCCCCAGAACTGGAAGAAGCCGTGCAGCAGCTCCCCCGCGCTCTCCCGGTTGCGCCCGGCGCCGGGGAACCTCCCCGCGTCGCGGATGGCCGCGGCATCCGGCAGGAACGGCGGCGGCCGGAGCTCGCCGGTGGCCACGTCCATCTCGGGCCCCGCGACGCAGGCGTTGACGGCCTTCGCCGTGGCCTCGGACAGGCCTCCCGCGCCGACGCCCGCCGCGCCGGCGGCGCCGGCGTCCGCGGCGGGGCGGGCCTCCGCCGCCAGCACGTCGATGACCCGCGGCAGCACCGGCGGGTCCCGCGTCTGCAGGAAGAAGAAGAGCTTCAGGATGAGCGTGTAGGTTCGGCGGCTCCGAGGGGTGTGGTTTGCACAATAGGTGTGGTTTACAGCCGGCACCCTGGGGGGCACCCTGGGGGGCGGGCGGGGGCCTCGACCGAGCTCTCCGCCGCGCCCCGAGGAGGCCCGACGATGACAGTGTCGTGCCCCCAGGCCCCAAGGGCGCCGATCGCAAACCACACCCCGGCGTAACCACACCCTTTGTAGTCGCCGATAGGTGCTCAGCGTCCCCTCGGAGCGGTTGTTGATCCGCCGCCGCGTGGCCCAGTGCTTGATGAAGCGGCCCAGGCGCTGCGTGCGCGGGTCTATCAGCGCCAGGGACCGCACGAAGCGCGAGTTCTCCAGGGCCGCGACGTTGTTCACGGACACGTCGCACAGGTCCTCGGGAGCGGCCAAGAGAGGGGGGTGTCCAAGAGGGAGGGGTGCAAATCATGACCAGAGGCACGTGCGCGGCCCAGCGGGGGAGCCAGGGACGCCATGAGACGAGAAGAGGCGCCATGACATCTGGGGAATACCATGGCCCACGCCATGATATCCACCCCCCCCTGGTCCTCCTCCTCCTCCTCCCTCCTCCTCCTCCTCCTCCTCCTCCTCCTCCTCCTCTCCTCCTCCTCCTCCTCCTCCTCCTCCTCCTCCTCCTCCTCCCCCCTCCCTCCTCCTCCTCCCTCCTCCTCCTCCTCCTCCTCCTCCTCCTCCTCCTCCTCCTCCTCCTCCTCCTCCTCCTCCTCCTCCCCTCACCCCCCTCTTTTCCATCCCCGAGGTCCGCGCCGTCCCGGTCGCGCACCTTCGCCACGGGCACCCGGGCCCGCGACACGACCTTCGCGGCGGGAGGGGCGGGAGGCGCGGAGGCCGGGCCGGAGGGCGGCACGCGGGCGAGGAAGGGGGGGGGGAGGGGGAGAGGAAGAGGCTGAGAGGCGGTGGCCACGGCCAAAGTGCAGAGGGAAAGGGGGGGAGGAGGAGGAGGAGGAGGAGGAGGAGGAGGAGGAGGAGGAGGAGGAGGAGGAGGAGGAGGAGGAGGAGGAGGAGGAGAAGGACCATTGTAATCACCAACGATGATGGACTGAACCCTCCCCCCAAGCTCCCTCTTCATAGGCCCCTGCAACGGCTCATTTCCATTGAGGGAACTGTCTCGTTGGAAGACAACGGTTTGAAGACCGTGAAGCATGCCAAAACATCGTTCCCAGGATTCCAACGCCACGGATCAACATGATTGCTGCGTTTTGACGATCCTGAATCGTGCCAGAACGCCATTCCTGGTACTCAACACCGCGAATCATCGCAACAGTTGCACCCTGGTAACTCTGAGTCATTCCAGAACACCATTTCTGGTACGTCGATCATGGGAACCCGTGAAACTCCTGGTAATTGTTAAAACGAATGTGCGCGGCGCGACAGCGTGAACCACCATTTGAAAACCACCCGCCCTCAATCCGTGAAACTCTTGCCATTTGTTTTAACGAAAGTGCGCGGCGCTAAGGCGAGAGCCACATGTTGAAAGCCACCCGCCCTCAATCCGTGAAACGATTACAACTGTTTAAAGCCAATGTGCGCGGCGCTAAAGCGAGAGCCACACTTAGAAAACGGCCCGCCCTCAATCCGCGAAATTCTTGCAAATGTTATTAACGAATGTGCGCCGCGCGGAAGCGAGAACCACATTTTGAAAACCACCCGCCTTCAATCCGTGAATTGCTTGCAAATGTTTAAAGCGAATGTGCGCGGCGCTAAAGCGAGAGCCACATATTGAAAACAACACGCCCTCCACCTGTGAAACTGTTGCCGATTTTGAGGCTTCAGGGACATAAATGGTGAAGAAGTCTCAGGCGAAACGGCCGGCCCGCCCTAAAAACTGGCCTCAAGGTCCGACCGAGAGAAACTAGTTAAAGGAATTGGAAGAGGAGGAGGACCAGTGTAAACCCAAGAGTCATCAACGATGTTGGAATAAACCCTCCCTCAAGTTTCCTCTTCATACGCCCCTGCAACGGTTCATTTCCATTGATGGAACTGCCTCGTTGGAAGACAACGGTTTGAAGACCGTGAAGCATACCAAAGCATCGTCCCCAGGATTCCAACGCCACGGATCAACATGATTGCTGCGTTTTGACGATCCTGAATCGTGCCAGAACGCCGTTCTTGGAACTTCAACACCGCGAACAAACGTAACTGTTGCACCCTCATAATCCTGAACCCTTCCAGAACACAATCTCTGATACTCTGATCATGGAAGGCCGTGAAACTCTTGCAAATGTTATTAACGAATGTGCGCGGCGCCAAGGCGGGAGCCACATTTTGAAAACGACCCGCCCTCAATCCGTGAAAGAGCTGCACATGCTTAAAACGAATATGCGCAGCGCTTAATGGAAGCCACAGATTGACAACGGGTTTCCCTCAATTCGTGAAACTCTTGCAAAAGTTTAAAACAAATGTGCGTGGCGCTGAGGCGAGATTCACATATTGAAAACGGCACGCCTTCCATCTGTGAAACTGTTGCCGAACTTGATACTTCAGGCTCATAAATGGTGAGGCAGTCTCAGGCAAAACGGCCGCCCCGCCCTACAAACTGGCCTCATGGTGCGACAGGGAGAAGGTATCTGTAAGGAAAAGGAATAAAGGCGGAGGCGGAGGCGAGGAGGAGGCGGAGGCGGAGGACGACGACGACGACGACGACGACGACGAGGATGAGGGCAAGGACGAGGAGGACAAGCAACCCACGAGGACGAGGGCGAGGACGACAACGACGAGGACGAGGACGAGAACGAGGACGACGAGGGCGGTGAGAAGCAGCAACCACATCAGCAGCCGCGACGGCAGGAGCCAGCAGCAGGGGGAAGGAGGAGGAGGAGGAGGAGGAGGAGGAGGAGGAGGAGGAGGAGGAGGAGGAGGAGGAGAGGAGAGGAGGAGGAGGAGAGGAGAGGAGGAGGAGAGGGAGGGAGGAGAGGAGGAGGAGGAGGAGGAGGAGGAGGAAAGCAGCGGCAGCGGCAGCGAGGAGGGCACACCGCGCGGCCGCACCAAAACGGGGCGCCGACGAGTTCACTGAGCGCACCTGCGCGGCGGGCAGAGGCGCCGAGCGCGGCCGCAGAGGAGGGGCCACGGGGGCGAGAGGAGGAGGAGGAGGAGGAGGAGGAGGAGAAGGAGGAGAGGGGAGGAGGAGAGGCAGGAGGAGGACGGAGGAGGAGAGGAGGAGGAGACAGGAAGGAGGAGGAGGAGGAGGTGAGGAGGAGGAGGAGGAGGAGGAGGAGGAGGAGGAGGAGGAGGAGGAGGAGGAGGAGGAGGAGGAGGAGGACGCACGCGGCGCCCGCAGCTTCGGGCTCTGCCGCGGAGGCCGCGCGCAGGGGCCGCGCCGGACCGGGGCGTCCCGGCAGCGGGGACGCCAAAAGGGCACCGAGGCCGCTGGGCGCTGCCAAGACCTCTCCCGGGGGGGCATTCTGGCCAAGACTTCGAGGCGGATGCAGCGGTGGCGACGAGGGGCTCCCAGGAGGCCCCCCCAAAAAAAGAGAACGAGGGAAGGATGGGCCAGTGCTGGGGGCCGCTGTGACCTCGCACAGACGCACAGAAGGCCACTGCGGCGAAGCCTCGAGTAAGGGATCAACGGCAGGGGGGCTCGAATCTGAAAGTCTTTCGACACTTCCTGAAGCCAGGCACCGAAAAAATGCGCACTCTTAGCTTGAGAGCTCTCTGACTTCATCGTGATCCCTCCTCCCCCGTTCAAGACGAAGCCAGGACGAGGACAGAATCGGGTGAGGCGAAGTCGAGAACCTCTGAGATCTGGCGGCTCTGGATGATGTCTCGGAGGCCGCGGCCTTCTCAGAGCGTTCGGAAACGCTCTGAGAGCGTTCTGGGACGCTCTAGAACGGATTTATCCTCGTCCTAGCCTCCCCCATCCCTCTCCTCCACCCATATCGCGCCGCCGCTGCCGAGCAGCGGGGAGGAATGTCTTCGATCTCGATCTGAGAATCTCTGAGATTTGGCGGCTCTGGATGATGTCTCGGAGGCCGCGGCCTTCTCAGAGCGTTCCGGAACGCTCTGAGAGCGTTTCGGAACGCTCCGCGACAGATGGATTCCCCATATTTCCCTATATTTTCTGGGGTTTTGTCTTCCCCCCCACTTCCCATATCCGCCGGCCCCCTTGTGGGGCCACCAGGCTGCGAGGCCCGTGATTCGCAGTTTCCTGTACCAGTTGTAGTTTCTAGTTTCCAGTGTTACAGTTCTGCTTCTTGCTGGTTACTGTAACTAGTTGACTTCTTGCTGGTTACTGTAACTAGTTGATTGACCGCGCGAGGGGGGGGGAGGCCCAAACAAGATTTTTAGCGTCTCCTGGGCGCGTTGTCTGAATTGCTGGGGGGGCTCGAAATCAACACCCCTCACGCAGATCCGCGGGGTCAGGGTCCAAAAACACAAGGGATTTGCCACATTTCTGAAATTCGGTGCCACCCCTCACGCAGATCCGCGGGGTCAGGGTCCAAAAACACATGGGATTTGCCACATTTCTGAAATTCGGTGCCACCCCTCACGCAGATCCGCGGGGTCAGGGTCCAAAAACACAGGGGATTTGCCACATTTCTGAAATTCGGTGCCACCCCTCACGCAGATCCGCGGGGTCAGGGTCCAAAAACACATGGGATTTGCCACATTTCTGAAATTCGGTGCCACCCCTCACGCAGATCCGCGGGGTCAGGGTCCAAAAACACATGGGATTTGCCACATTTCTGAAATTCGGTGCCACCCCTCACGCAGATCCGCAGGGTCAGGGTCCAAAAACACAGGGGATTTGCAACATTTCTGAAATTCGGCGCCACCCCTCACGCAGATCCGCGGGGTCAGGGTCCAAAAACACAGGGGATTTGCCACATTTCTGAAATTCGGTGCCACCCTTCGCGCACATCCATCACAAGGGAAGGTAACCCAAACTGCGAGAACTCCCTCGGCCCTTAATCGCAAGGTGTGGTAACCAAGCCCGTAAACCATACACGTCTTACCAATCGCCAGGTGTGGTAACCCCTCTTGTGATCAGTTGGTTTTGCTGATTGCGAATCGGCTTCGCATGAAGTTTCGATACTGCTTCACGACAGCGCCAAGGCCTCATGACTTAGCTCTTCCATAGCCCATTCTCCGAGAGAGGGGGCCGGCGGCAGGGGGCGAAGCCCTTACGGATTTTCCCATATGTTCTGGGGGATCGACGATGAATTGTGTCCGTGTGTTTTTGTCCCCTCCTGATGGATGATGTCTCGGAGGCCGCGGCCTTCTCAGAGCGTTCCGGAACGCGCTGAGCGGTTCCGCCTCCTCCTCCCTCCTCCCCACTCTCTCCTCCTCATCCTCCTCCTCCTCCTCCTCCTCCTCCTCCTCCTCCTTCCTCCCCCTCCTCCTCCTCCTCCCTCTCCTCCTCCTCCTGCTCCCTCCTCCTCCTCCTCCTCGTCCTGGCCCCGCCCGGAGGGGGGCCGCGCGGGCCGCACGCGGCCGGGCCGCCGCACCTCTCCGGCGGGCCCCGGCTGGCCACGGCCGGCGGAGGCTGCGCGCCCTCACCACGAGAGCCGACGTGGCGAAAGAGGCCAGCATCGCGGAAAATCGCGACAGAGGAGAGAGGGAGGAGGAGGAGGAGGAGGAGGAGGAGGAGGAGGAGAGGAGGAGGAGGAGAGGAGGAGAGAGGAGAGGAGAGGAGGAGGAGGAGGAGGAGGGAGGAGGGGAGGAGGGGAGGAGGAGGAGGAGAGGAGAGGAGGAGGAGGAGGCAAGGAGGAGAGGTGGAGAGAGGAGGAGAGGAGGAGAGGAGGAGGAGGAGAAGGAGGAGGGAGGGATGAGGAGGAGGAGGGAGGGGAGGAGAGGGGGATGAGGGAGAGGAGGAGAGGGAGGAGGGAGGAGGAGGGGGAGGGGAGGGGGAGGAGGAGGAAGAAAGGAGAGGAGAGGAGGAGAGGAGGAGGAGGAGGGAGGAGGAGGAGGAGGAGGAGGAGGAAGAGAGGAGGAGGAGGAGGAGGAGAGGAGGAGGAAGAAAGGAGGAGGAGGAAGTAGGCAGGGAGGAGGGGGAGGGGGAGGAGGAGGGGGGATGAAGGAGAGGAGGAGAGGAGGGGATTAGGAGGAGGAGGGGGAGGAGAGGGGGAGGAGGAGGAGGAGAAGGAGGAGGAAAGGAGGAGAGGGAGGAAGAGGAGGAGAGGAGGAGAGGAGGAAGGAGTGAGGTCGAGGGGAGAGGAGGACCTTGAGGAGTAGGTATGCTGCGAGTTAGGTTGCGAGAAGTCGAGGAATGAGTGATGATGAGGAGGTATAAGGAGGATAGGAGGAGGAAGCGTATGCCGCACGCTGCGGCCCCAGTGTTCGGGCTCTGCCACGGAGGCCGGCGCGCAGGGGCCGCGCCGGACCCGGGCGTCCCGGCAGTGGGGCGCCAAAGGGAACATACGGGGCGTTGACCTATAGGACCCTCCCTTCCCCACCCCTTCCCCCTCCTCCTCCTCCACCTCCTCCCCCCTCCCATTCCCCTCCCCCTCCCCCTCCCCCTCCTCCCCCTCCTCCTCCTCCTCCTCCTCCTGCTCCTCCTCCTCCTCCTCCTCCTCCTCCTCCTCCTCCTCCTCCTCCTCCTCCTCCTGCCACCTCCGAGAAAGCACCGCTCTGCGTAGCGGGCGTCGCCGTGGCGCTGCTTGGGGGCCTCCCCCAAAACCGGCCGGGGCTCGCATGGGCTCGGAGGATCGCGCCGCACCGCCGACGCGTCGGCGACGACGGGATAGAGTCGGGGCGCTGACCTAAGGAACCCTAAAGAAGGAGCGAGGCCCCTTCTTGTCCATAAGTGAACCTTCGATGTCCTGCCGAAAACATCAGGGAAGCCTGAGGCAAGCCGTGAAGCGCTCACGGAACACGGAGCCCCTCCCCAACGAAAAGGGTTCCTTCTTCAGGGCCCCGACTGTAGCCCCCATCTTCCTGCTCCATGTTTCAAGCCAGATCGATACGTGAGGGTCCTGGGGCCCGACACCCGGTCGAAAACGCCTGGTGCGGAAAACACAGCAACGATCGGATCTCAGGCTACCCCGCCAGCGTTGGTTTGGGGCACCGCGTAGATCGCTCAACGAAGACCCCTCGAACCAAGGAAAAATCACGACTTACCGATTTTTGCTATTTCCGGCCTATGGGGGCTTCTTCTGGACAGAAGGTGAAAACTGGTCCCGGGGAACGGGTCGAGACCTGTGGAGGTCGACGCTATGACAAAATCATGACGTCGGGGGTCTGGGAATCTTGAAACGACTGGGGCTTCCCAACACGACGGCTCGTTGGACGTCGGTCGAGTTGAGGCCACCGGCGGCGTTCGCCCCTGAACGCCTGCGCCCCGGATCGGCGCCCCGTCGACACGACACGAAAGTACCGCACGGAGAAGCGAGCAGCGCGGAACCACGAGGCCTCCGCTGACCCCAGCCTGTCGCGCTTCACCAGGCACTGCACCAGCCGCAGCTTGGTGAGCCAGGACTGCCTCGGGGCGGGGGGCGAGGGAGCCCGAGGCGGAGCAAGGAAGAAACAGAACAAGAGAAGGGGGCGGAGGAGAAGGGGAAGAGACGGGGGACGGTAAGGCGATCAATGTGCAGGAAGAAGCGGCGGAAGGGATGCACCAGCACTATGCAGGAGGGCTTCGGGCCAAACACCCACGGCCCCCCTCTTCATCCTCCTGCTCTGGAGGCTCCTCCTGCACCTCCTGTCTCCCTTCCTGTCCCCCCTCCTCCTCCTCCTCCTCCTCCTCCTCCTCCTCATTCTCCTCCTCTTCTTATCAGTATTAGTAGTCGTCTTATTCACATTATCATTAGTATTCTTATTAGCAGTAGTATTATTAGTAGTATTATTACTATTACTATTACTATTATTATTATTATTATTAGTAGTAGTAGTAGTAGTAGTAGTAGTAGTAGTATCAGTCGAATTAGTATTAACATTAGCATTCGTATTAGCACTACTCTCATGATTAGTATTATTGATAATAATATCATTCGTATTGTTATTAGTACTACTATTATTAGTAGTAGTCTTGATATTACTAGTAGTAGTATTACTATCAATATTATTAATATTATTCATGATATGTTTACTACAGTTATTATTCTTAGTAGTATTACTACTATTAGTAGTAGTATGATTGTTGATAGTGTTCTTATCATGATTAGTGTTCGTATTAATGTTCTTATGTGTCTTCGTGTTAGTTTTCGTATTATCCGTGTTCCTCTTATTATTAGTAGTATGAGTCTTATCAGTATTGTTAGTATTACTCTTATTACTACTAATATTAATATTGTTATTCATAGTATCATTACTCTTATTATTAGTAGTAGTATTAATATTGATTCCTATTATGTTTATTATGTGTCGTCTTCGTGTTCGTCCTCCTCTTCGTCATATTCTTCTTATGCATATTCTTCTTACTATGATGTTTATTATTGTTGGTATTATTATTGCTACTCTTAGTATGATGATTATGCTGAGTCTTATTACTCAAATGTGTCTTCATATAATTCATACTCTTCTAAATATTACTATTAGTATTCTTCTTCTGTTTTCGTCTCCCTCTTCTTCCTCCTCCTCCTCCTCCTCCTCCTCCTCCTCCTCCTCCTCCTCCTCCTCCTCCTCCTCTTCGTCCTCCTCCTCCTCCTCCTCCTCCTCCTCCTCCTCTTCCTCCTCCTCCTCTTCTTCCTCCTCGTCCTGCTCCTCCTCCTCCCCCTCCGCCTCCCCCTCCTCATCCGCCGCCGCCGCCTCCGCTTCCGCCTCCGCCTCCGCTTCCGCATCCGCCTCCGCCTCCACCTCCGCCTCCACCTCCGCCTCCTCCTCCTCCTCCGCCTAGCTAGTTTCCTGAGTAATAGTCTTAAGCGTATTGGTATGAAAATGTTATTAATGTTATTCGCCGTAGTAGTAGTAGTAGTTGTTGTTGTTGTTGTTGTAGTAGGTGTAGTTGTAGTTGTAGTTGTGGTTGTAATTGTGGTTGTGGTTGTGGTTGTAGTTGTAGTAGTAGTAGTAGTAGCAGTAGTAGTAGTAGTAGTAGTAGTAGTGGTAGTAGTAGTAGTAATAATAGTAGTAGTAGTAGTAGTAGTAATAGTACTAGTACTAGTAGTAGTAGTAGTAGTAGTAGTAGTAGTAGTAGTAGTAGTAGCTGTAGTAGTAAAAATAGTGGTAGTAGTAGTAGTCGTAGTAGTAGTAGTAGTAGTAATAGTGGTAGTAACAGCAGCAGCAGTAACAGTAGCAGCAGTAGTATTAGTATTATTGGTGTTCGCATTCGTCTTCTTATGATTATGTGATCGCGATCTAAGTGTTAGCAGTATCGTTTCGATTATTCATCGTATTAATTAGATTTGCAATCGACTTAGTATGAATAATAGTGTTTTCATCCATATTATTAATAGTATATTAGTATCAGTATTACAAATAGTAGCAGTCGTGTTCTTAGTACCAGTATTATCATACATAGTCGCATTAGTATTCGCATTCGCGTTGCATTCGCATTTGCAGTCTTAGTATTAGTGTTACTAGGGTTATTAGTAATATTACTCGTAGTATGATTATTATTGATAGCGCTGTTAGTAATAATAGTGTTGTTGGTGGTATTAATATGACTAGTATTAGTAGTACTAACAATGATGGTGTTGATCAGTAGTAGTAGTATTATCCGTATTAGTTTTAGCAATAGTCTTACTACGAGTACTAATATTTTACCATCGCCATCATCATCAGCAGGATCAGCATCATCATCAGCATCAGCATAATCCTTAGTACCATTAGTAGTCTTATTACTACGACTAGTCTCTGTAGTAGTATTACTAGTATATAATACTTATCGTTAGCATTACTACTATCATTAGTATGTGTAGTCTAGTTATTATAAGTAGGATTATTAATGTTATAGCTATAACCATCATTATTACTCGTGTTATTACTGGTGTTACTCTAACGAATCGTAGTATTAGTATGCGCCTTCTGCTTTGTAGTATACGTCGTCGTATTAGTAGGCGCTGTCCTCGTAGTATTCGTCGTGGTATTCGTCTTCTTAGTATACATACTAGGGTATGATTCGTGTTCTTAGTATCTGCCGCATTAGCATTCGTATTGTTAGTAGTCGGATTCGTAGTGTTCGTCCTCTTCTGAATATTATGAATATAACTATTCGTATTATCAATAATATTATTAATAGCAATCATGTTCGTGCAATTATTATTGTTACGTTTCACTCTTAATATTCCTCTTATTATTCCTCCTCATCCTCTACTTATTCCTCCTCCCTCCTCCTCCTTCTGCTCCTCATCCTCTTCCTCCTCTTCCTCCTCTTCCTCTTCCTCCGCCTCCTCCTCCTCCTCCTCCTCCTCCTCCCTCCTCCCTCCTCCTCCTCCTCCTCCTCCTCCTCCTCCTCCTTCCTCCCTCCTCCCTCCTCCTCCTCCCTCCTCCCTCCTCCCTCCTCCCTCCTCCCTCCTCCGTCCTCCCTCCTCCGTCCTCCCTCCCTCCCCCTTCCCCCCTCCACAATTACTCAATATGAATACTACTCTCCCCCTTCCCCTGATGGCGTCCTGGGAATTGTAGACCCCCCCCCGCGTACTGTTTTTTACACACAAGATTCCCGGGAGTCGGGTTTTCGCCTGCGCTTTTTTCCAAAATGCTGCTCTCGCTGAGGCGCCGGCCTCATTTCTGCTCCCGAATCGTTCCGAATCGTGCTCACGCTGCAGCGCTGGCCTCATTTCCGTGCTTCCGCTCGTTCCGAATCGTGCTCCCGCTGCAGCGCTGGCCTCATTTCCACGCTTCCGCCCGTTTCGACTCGTGCTCCCGCTGCAGCGCTGGCGTGATTTCCGTGCCCATGCCACAGCACACGCGCACACACGCACACACACACACACACACAACCCACCACCACCACCACCACCACCACCACCACCACCCCACCACCACCACCACCACCACCACCACCACAACCACGCACACACGCACGCACGCACGCACGCGCACCACCACCCACTACGCACGCGCGCGCGGAGCCACAGGTCCGCTACGACACGCGTCCGCGGATAGAAAAAATCAGCGCCATGGCAAAGGATGGGAGGGAGGGGTAGGACGTCAGATATGACGCGAGCGCACCTAGCTTGCCCCTCTCCCCTCCACAATTACTCAATATGAATACTATTCCCTCTTCCCCCGATGGCGGCCTGAAAGTATTACCCCCCCCCCCCCGCGTACTGTTTTTTACACACAAGATGTTTTTTAACACACAGGATTCCCGGGAGTTGGGTTTTCGCCTGCGTTTTTTTTCAAAATGCTGCTCTCGCTGAGGCGCTGGCCTCATTTCTGCTCCCGAATCGTTCCGAATCGTGCTCCCGCTGCAGCGTGGGCCTCATTTTCGGATCGGTGTTTGGCCTCCGTCGTTCAGGATGGCGTTCTCGCCCCAGCGCGGGCCTCTTTCTCGCGCGCCCATCCGCCCGCCACCACCGCGCCGCACCACCACCACCACCACCACCACCACCACCACAACAACCACCACCAGCACCACCACCACCACCACCGCCACCACCACCACAACCACGCACACACGCACGCACGCACGCTCGCGCACCACCACCCACTACGCACGCGCGCGCGCGGAGCCACAGGTCCGCTACGACACGCGTCCGCGGATAGAGAAAATCAGCGCCATGGTAAGGGATGGGAGGGAGGGGTAAAACGTCAGATATGCCCCTCCCCCCCCCCCCTCCCCCCTCCCCCCCCCTCCCGCCCCCCCTCCCCCCCTACCACAATTACTCAATATGAATACTACTCTCCTCCTTCCCCTGATGACGGGTTGGGAGTGTTCGCCCCCCCCCCGCGTACTGTTTTTTACACACAGGATTCCCCGAAATTGGGTTTTCGCCTGCATTGTTTTCCAAAATGCTGCTCTCGCTGAGGCGCTGGCCTCATTTTCGGGCCCCGCTCGTTCCGAATCGTGCTCCCGCTGCAGCGCTGGCCTCATTTCCGTGTTCCCACTCGTTCCGAATCGTGCTCCCGCTGCAGCGCTGGCGTCATTTCCGCGCTTCCGCTCGTTCCGAATCGTGCTCCCGCTGCAGCGCCGGCGTCATTTCCCGTGCCATGCCACGGCATGCAATGCAATGTTAGGTTGCGTTCCGCTGCGCGATGCCATGCCTTCACCTGATGCTGTGATATGCAGTGCTTAAGTGCCACGTCGCGCTATGCCCTGCTACGCTTTGATCTTCAACGCCATGCTTTGCAATGTTATGTTCGGGGCTGCTGTGCGATGTCATGCTTTGCGTTGCAAAGCTTTGTGATGCAATTCTTCACTACGCCACGCCATGCTGTGACATACTGCGCTTTGCGGTGCTCTTCTACGCCATGCCACGCCGTGGTCTACAATGCATCGCGTACCCTTTCGGGATCATTGCCCTGCTCGACATCCGATTGTGCGAGTAGAGAGGGGATCTACGCCATGGTAAGGGATGGGAGGGAGGGGTAGGATGTCAGATATGACGCGAGCGCACCTAGCTTGCCCCCTCCCCCCTCCCCCTTCCCCCCGCCCCACTCCCCCCTCCCTCCCCCCTCCCCCCTCCTCCCTCCCTCCTCCCCTCCCCTCCCTCCCTCCTCTCCTCCTCCCTCCTCCCTCCTCCCTCCTACTCCTCCTCCTCCTCCTCCCTCCCTCCCTCCCTCCCTCCCTCCCTCCCTCCATGCTTGTACGCTTGATCCTTCCGCCGAGGCTCGAATCCAGAAGTCTTTCGACACGTCCTGAAGCCAGGCACCGAAAAAATGCGCACTTCCAGCTTGAGAGCTCTTGCTTCATCGTGACCCCTACTCCCCTCTTGAAGACGAAGCCAGGTTGAGAACAAAATCGGGTGAGGATCAATCGAGAATCTCTGAGATCCAGTGGCTCTGGAGGATGTCTCAGGCGCCGCGGCCTTCTCAGAGCGTTCTGGAACGCTCTCAGAGCGTTCTGGGACGCTCTGGAACGGATTTATCCTCGACCTAGCCTCCCCCATCCCTCTCCTCCACCCATATCGCGCTGCCGCTGCCGAGCAGCGGGGAGGAATGTCTTCAAGGCCTCTGCGCGCAGCGCCGAACCACGAGGCTCCCCCATTCCCTCGGGGACGCACTGACCCAGGTCAGTGCAAACCCAGGTCAGTCAGGCATTGCAGGATCCTGCAAGATCCTGCAGGATCGTGCAGGATACTGCGCGCAAACGCAGGTCAGTGGGCCCCTGGCTCTGAAGGATCCTGCAAGATCCAGCGCACTGGCTGACCCGCGTTTGCAGTAACCCCCGTCTCAAGGCTCCCGAATCCCTCTCCTTTCCCCCCTTGCTGCGCTGCCGCTGCCAAGCAGCGGGGAGAAAGGTCTTGAGGCCTCTGCGTGCAGCGCCGGACCACGAGGCAAGCGTCCACGTCTGATCCGTTCATCCAGAAGCCGTTCTCGCAGGAGCCGAACGTGTGGAAGACGCCTCTCTCTGCACCAACCCACATATGCTCACCGTAGCTGTAGCTATGAGGGATCAGGGAGGATGAACGAAGGCGGGAGGAAGGAGTCGGGACGAAGGAGGGGAGGGAAGAGTCGGAGGAGAAAAGAGTGTGGGAGGGTCTCCCATGGCCACACCCTGGTCACGGGCTTGTTGGCGCCAGCCCGCTTCTCTCTCATGTTTCGCACTGCGCGGGCCATGCGCAGGACGCGGGGTGAGTCCAGACGCGAACGCTGAACCGTCGTCCGAAGCACAAGCAATGCGAACGGTGTGATCCGGCCAGTTTGTTCTTCCAATCAACCCCCTCTTCCCCTTCGGAGAAGGGCCTATTAAGAAGCACCCCCTCCCCCACTCTACCGGCCCCTGAACAGGCCAAAGCCGACCCCCATCCAGCGCCCCGTCAAGAAAAAATACGAATCCTCTGCGCGGCAAATCTAAGAAATCTTAGGCCTCCTAGAGGCCTCAACACGGCTCCCAAGAGGCCTCAAGAGAGGTGCCAAGATAGTCCAGAGAAGCCCAAGAGCAGAGCCGCGATCCGCCAACCGCCCCCGACGAAATCCCAAGAAGCTGAAACCGCAAGATTCCCCAGAAATCGCGCGCGTTCCGCAAATTCCGTTTTTCACTCTTGCTGCCGCCCCACGGGATCGGCGGTGCGGCGTCAGCCAATAAATCAGCTTAGAGCGCCCAGCGATCACTCCACACCGTTCTTGACAGGGATTGCCAGCACATTGCCTGGCGTGCGCAGGCCCACCGCCCCTGTCGAAGACCGTGCAGCACGCACGCTGTGGAAACATCTTGGACTACGCTTGGGTCGGGTATGTCCCCCTGCAGGCAGATGTTGGACGAAAGATTAAAAATAGTCAATATTCAAACACATTCAAGAATTGTCGAAAAATCGTGCCCTGACTACTTTTTGAACATGTTTGAATATTCCCCCAGTAGAGACTCAAGACTATGCGCCGGCGCCCCAGGACCATTCTGCATTCTAATTTGATGAGGGCGATGGGGGTGCCCTGGCATGCGCGGCGCACCTCGCTGGCGTCTGCACTGGTTCCTGGTGGTTGTCGATGACGGCCCTGACCTGTTCTGGGACTCGGGTGTTACTGAGACGGTGGGGAGTAGCTTGATCACTTCTCCCTGTTAGCTTGCCGTTGCCCAGACGCCCACTTCCCCAGCATCTTGCGGCTCCGTGCGTGATCTTATTTCGCGGGATGGCCCAAGATTAGGTCGGGCGTGTCCCCCTACAGGGGGAGTTCGGGCGAAAAATAATGAGTACCCTAAAAAGTACCCCTAAAATCCGCATTAATGGTCAAAGAATCGTCCCTGTACTATTTTTCAGCTATTTTTGAATATTCCCCCTGTAGAGGGACAGGCCCGACTTACGTAATCCTAGATGGTCTAGATTGTACTCGCCCTGGCCTCGCCGAGAGAGAGAGAGACGCACGTCCGAGCGATACCAAATTCGCCGGCCCAACGGGCCAGAGGCGTGCTAAAAATCTCCCGGAACAGTTTCAGAATGCTCCTAGTTTCAGGTCGGGCCTGTTCCCCCACAGGCCAATTTGAGGAAAAAAGAAAACTAGTAAAAAAAAAAAAAATGATACCGGAGAAAAAACCCAATCAGATTGTTTTAATCTTCCAATTGCTCCCTTTGTAATCGGGCTATAGGGCGGGCTATAGGGCTATGGGGCTATAGGGCTATAGAGCTATCGGGCTATAGGGCTATAGGGCTATCGGGCTATGGGGCTATAGGGCTATCGGGCTATAGGGCTATAGGGCTATAGGACTGTGACCTATAGGGCCATAGGCCTATAGGGCTATGGGGCTGTAGAGCTATATGGGCTATGGGGCTATAGGGCTATAGGGATAAGACGCTATTAGGGCTATAGGGATATAAGGCTACAGGGCTATAGGGCTATAGGGCTACACGGCTATAGGGCTATAGGGCTATAGAGCTATAGGGCTACTGGGCTATTGGGCTATTGGCCTGTTGGGCTATTGGGCTATTGGGCACCCCCGGGCACCCGGGCACCCCCGGGCACCTGGGCACCCGGGCCCGGCCACCGAAATCGGCGACGAACCACACCGGCCACCTGGGCACCCGGGCTCCGCTGGGCACCCGGGCACCCGGGCACCCGGGCCCGACCACCGAAAATCGGCGACGAACCTCACCTAACCCTTTAATCCGCTAGGACCCCTACAGAGGCAAGCTCTGATTGGGGAAAAGTGGTCAAAAATTGCTAACAACAAAAAAATCGTCCCCAGACTATGTTTTGACGATTTTGAATATTCCTCCTGTAGAGGGACAGGCCCGACTTAATTCTGGTTGGCGATCAAATGGCGGCCCCTGGGGGTCCGAAGAGTACCCCGGCAAGGTCCCAGCAGGGTCCAGGCAGGGTCGAGTTATTCCCAGGGGAAGGGAAAGGGCGGACTCCCTCACACGACGTTGAGCCCCAAGGTTAGGAAAATCAGCGAATTCCACAGACAGTGGAGGATGTCGAGGATCAGGAGTCGGATGAGTCACAGATGCCAGAACTCCTGGGCGCTGCCCTGGGGGCCCCAGAACGACCCAGGCGCGCCCCAAGGAGGCGCCGAATAGATGGCAGGCCCCGCAGCCTCAGGCCAAGTTACCAGCCTCGAACAGATCCCTATCCCTAAGATTGACATACCAAAAAGCGATGACAATCTTAGGGATGCACCCTCAAAAAATAAGGGAATCCCTAAGATTGGCATCGTGATGAGGAGATGCCCAGCATAGGGATAGGGATATGTTCCAGGCTGGTAATCAAGAGCGTTCCAAGATGGCCCGGGTTGGTCCCAAGACGGCACCCGACGCGCCCAAGGCGCCCCTATGAGGGCTCCAAGAGGAGCCCACGAGGGTCCGACGAGACCAAAAACCTGGACTGGCTTAAGTTGTCGTAAGGTGTTGGCGCTGCCGCCTATTCCCACGTCCGACCGCCCAGGACGGCCCAAGGGGCCTCCGACGTCGCCCCAAGTCAGCCCAAGAGGGTCACAGGACGGCCCCAAGACGGGCCAAGAGGGCCCCGAGACAGCCCAGGAGGCCTCGCCAGAGGGCTCAAGAAGCTCCCATGAGGGCCCCAAGAGGGGGAACCCGAACAGAGACATCGAGCCTTCCCCAGAAGTTGGCCCCCGAGACCGCCAGCAGGCCCGCATCAAGAGGCCCCCGAAAGCCCAAAAGGCTGCCCCACGGGGCCCCCAAGAGGCCCCAAGAGGTCCCAAAAATGCCGCCAATAGGCCCCCGATAGGCCTCCCAAGAGACCCCGAGAAGCTTTCCAATCCAAAGAAGCGTTTTGTCCACAACCCAATTTTGTCGTCACAATTCCCCAAGAAGCCGTCGAAAGGCCCACTCCTCCCCCTCCTCCCCCTCCTCCTCCTCCTCCTCCTCCGCCTCCTCCTCCTCCTCCTCCTCCTCCTCCTCCTCCTCCTCCTCCTCCTCCTCCTACTACTACTACTACTACTACTACTACTACTACTACTACTACTACTACTACTACTACTACTACTACTACTACTACTACTTACTACTACTACTACGACCTACGACTACGACTACTACTACTACTACTACTCTACTACTACTACTAATACTACTACTACTACTACTACTACTACTACTACTACTACTACTACTACGACTACTACTACTACTACTACTACTACTACTACTACTACTACTACTACTACTACTACTACTACTACTACTACTACTACTACTACTACTACTACTACTACTACTACTACTACTACTACTACTACTACTACTACTACTACTACTACTACTACTACTACTACTACTACTACTACTACTACTACTACTACTACTACTACTACTACTACTACTACTACTACTACTACTACTACTACTACTACTACTACTACTACTACTACTACTACTACTATATACTTACTTCCTAGAATATACTCCTACTCCCCCCTCAGGCCGGCCATTAGGGGCCGCATCCGGGGGGTCCCATCCTAACCTGTAAAAAAACAATACAAAATCAACATTTTTCTTATTTTTTCCTCTCGACATGGACGTCCTGTCGTCCACGGCGATAATCCATTGCAAAAAATACCACAAAGAGCACACGCGCGCGTTCATGTCAGAATCCTACCGAACACCGTGTGTTTGCAAGCATTTCAACATAAAAACATCAAAAACCCAATGCTTTTTCACAAAAATTGTACAAATTTCCCGCCCGGGCTCTCTTGCTGAAATCATAGGAAAACCATAGGAATCTTAAGAATTCTGTCAAATCCAGCGATTTCACGTCATCGCGCGGTGCACTCGCGATGCTCTGTCATGCACCCAGGCCGCGAATCCTGTGCAAAAAATACCACAAAGAGCACACTCGCGCGTTCATGTCAGAATCCTACCGAACACCGTGTGTTTGCAAGCATTTCAACATAAAAACATCAAAAACCCAATGCTTTTTCACAAAAATGCTGTGGGGTGTCCTGTCAGACCGTCGGGCTTCCTCCGGCCACCTCTGGCTTCCTGCGGTGTACCAGGCCATTCTCGACTCGTCTGGCAATGCGTGCGCGGCATTCATCACGCGCTCGCCAGTTCCCGTCGGCAACCGCCATCGCGGCCGCATCAGCTGTACCAAACCGGCTGGCCGGTGTGACTTCGGCCCCCAGTTGTGCCAGCTTTGCTTCTTATGTTGTGGGAGGGCGGGTGGGACTGGGCATGCCATGCTTGACTCGCTCGAGCTGGCTAGCTTGACTCCTACTCCTACTCCTCCTCCTCCTCCTCCTCCTCCTCCTCCTCCTCCTCCTCCTCCTCCTCCTCCTCCTCCTCCTCCTCCTCCTCCTCCTCCTCCTCCTCCTCCTCCTCCTCCCCCCTATCGAGTCCCCTATCTTCCGTCTTGCCCGCCATGGGTGCACCGACATACATAGCAACAATGGTGCAAGATGGGCCGGCGAAATAGGCGAAGCGATCCACCGCCCCACCGGGTACGGCGTGT